GCGGCCTGGGGACCGGACCGGGCCCTCAGCCTTGCGGGGCTGGGGAGGGGAGGCGGCGGGCGGGCCCCGGCGCTCCCGAGAGGCCTTCACGGGTGAAATGGCGACCAAACACCCGGGAAGAAACGCGTAGAGTGCTGGCTCCCGGGCCTGGCGAAACCTGTTTGGCGGCCGGTGATCCGGCGCCGCGTTCCTCCCCGCCCGGAAGGCTGGCGGGGCTCGCTGCGGGGTCCTCCCGCGCACGCAGCGGGTCTGTCCCCGGAGACACGCTTTTATTAGCCCAGGCGTCCGCATCGGCCTGCCCCGGGGCTCCCGGCGCCTTGGGGTGTCCGTCCCGCAGGGCCCAGCGGCACCACCGCCTTCCCCTGCGCTCCCCAGGAGGAACTGAGGCGCTGGTAGGCAGGGAAGGCTCCATGCCACAACCTGAGACAAAAAAAAACCCAAAAACCCCCACAAAACAGCACAAAAACAAAGCCACACCAAAAATCCCATGTTTCAGTAGTTGTGCTGCGGGCAGAATTCTTGCGGATTTTGCCAAAGCGTAAGCGCAAACGCTGAGTTTGGGAAGGGATTTGTTTTGACGTTCCAGAAGCCTAAATCAACAAGTTTTATGTTAGGTTAAGGTTTTCCGCTTGATTTCAGGAAACCGTTACGGAGGAAACTCGTGGGGATAAGTTGCATAAAGCAACAAAAATAATGAAAAAATATTTTTTTCCTTAGTCTGAAGTGTTGTGCAGTATCAGTCCAGACTTGCAGTTCTGGAAAGCAGCAGAAAATTTAAATTAAGTACAAAAAATTAACTAGGAAATTAGCTAACAACAAGACCATCATCACCTTTTTTTTTTTTTCAAAGGCTTGTCATCTCTTACTGTAGTTTCTTAAACTGATAGTTTAAGAAAGAGGCAATTGTGAATACTGAATTTTCTGCTCCTTTACTCTCTTTCCAGAGCAAGCGAAGGGCATTCTGGAGAGCAGAAACTCCATTCAGTCCTTAGAACTGGACAAGTTCAATTATAGTTAGCTTGGAAATTCTGGTCTTTTAAAGGCAGAAGGTCTTTTGAAATGTTGCAACAGCAAACTAGGTATTTCTAACAAAATAAGTACAGAGAATAATACATCTAGAGGTATTCTGTTCTCTCAGTCTGCTCTGTAAGCAGACAGGTAACACAAAATTCTTCAAAGTTGTTCACACCCATAAGTAAATGCTCAGGCAACCTATTATATTTCCTCAAAGTATGTGCCAAAATATATATTTTTAACAAACGACACCTGTTGCAATTTTTTTTATAAGGAAGTAGGTAGTTGGCATAATGAATGATCATTTTGCTCGAAGAACCTCAAACCTGAACAGAGCTTTTTCTTGACTAACTTCACTTTGAAAAGGACTTAAATTATCTTCTCTGAGATTTACACCAGCTACTCTATTTCTCAACAACAACAAAAGAAATAGGTCCTGTTCGATTTTAGTACACTCAACTGTGTTATTGCCTACTTGGGTAACATCATATGATTTAGAATGATGTTAGAAAGTGTCCAGCTCTCTTAGTTATCTTCCTCAGAGAAGTTGTCTTTGAAAATACAGGTTTTTATTTTGCACTGAAATGTTTGCAATTGTGTGTTCACATCAGTCTGTTTCACAGGTCTCTAGTTACAATGACAAAATTATTGGCTGGTTTGCTTTTGGCTCCAAGTTACGATTCAATCTAATAGTTGCAGTTTGAGCTGGGGTGAAAGTGAGGGATGTTTCCAAATGAGTGCTGACAAAGCTTAGGCTTGGTTGTTTCGGTTTGGTTTTGTTTGTGGTTTTTTTGCTGGCTTTTTAAAGTGACGGTAAGGGCCTTCTAGCCAAACATTTGGACAACTAAATTTTTGCTAACAGAACTAATACACATTTTCAAGAAGTAAACAGAAAATGTCAACAGAAGTAAGAAACTGCAAAATAGATTGAAAATACTAAGAAGAAAGCATGCTATACCCTAAAAAGCAAAGGATAAAAACTCCAACAAAAAGTATAAGACCTTTCTGTTTGACTTTGTGATGAACAGATTGAGTTTTGAAGGTTCTGTTGAGCTTTGTAGTTGTAGAAACTAGAAAAGTATTTTACTGTCACCCACGAGGAACTTCGGTCTCCTAAGTTCTTTGGAATTCAAGATAAAGAACCTTTACAATAATAGTTTCACACATGGATCTTACATGTAATTATCTTTTAGATGTCCATAAGCACTATATTGGATATTGAATAGACTCCATGCAGAACTATTTGGTTGAAATCATTAGCACTGTTTAACAGTGTGTTTTTTTCCCCCTAGCTTTCAGGTAAAGTTTATTAAAGGCAGCAATGGAACGATTTGGAGTGAAGTCTGCTCCATCACGTAACCGCTCGAAGACTGCTTTGTATGTAACTCCTCAGGATCGTGTAACTGAGTTTGGCAGTGAGCTGCACGAAGATGGAGGAAAACTCTTTTGTACCTCCTGCAACGTGGTTCTGAATCACGTTCGCAAGTCTGCCATCAATGACCACCTCAAGTCTAAAACACACACAAAGCGAAAGGCAGAGTTTGAGGAACAGAACGTCAGGAAGAAGCAAAGGACTCTGACTGCCTCCCTTCAGTGCAACAGTACTGCCCAGACAGAGAAAACCAGCGTCATCCAGGACTTTGTGAAAATGTGCCTGGAAGCTAATATTCCACTGGAGAAGGCTGATCATCCATCTGTGCGAGCCTTCCTGTCCCGCTACGTCAAGAATGGCAGTTCGATACCTAAGTCAGACCAGCTAAGGAAAGCATACCTGCCTGATGGGTATGACAATGAGAACCAACTCATCAATACTGAAGACCGTTGAGAAGAAAACTGTTTTCATCATTGTTGTGAAGTTTTACATATTGATGGTGTGGTTTATTTTTATATTCATGCATATATACAGTGTTACATATTGGTTTTACAAGATATTTTGTATTATTGTAGAAATGACAATCTATTTCTGAACTTAGTGGTATGCCACAGACTGTTGCTAACCCTGCTGTAGACTTCAGAGCTACACTGATGTAGAACTCGTGATGAATGTAGGGGACATACCTGGCATACCTTTTATCTACGTTCAGTCCAGCTGTAACTGACGCTAAGAAAAAGGCATTTGGATGGAGGACCTCACCTACCTAAATATACGAGGAAGATGATGCGATAGGGATTGTTAATCATGTCAGTGGATTGCTTTGTCCAGTACCCTGTCCATGAGCAACCAAGAAGAAGTGCTGCACATTTGAAATGCCAGAAGTTGTAGAATGGTTAGTTAAAATATAACTGCTCTGTTGGGGGAGGATTATTGCAAATAATCAAGTTCATTTCAATCAAGTCACATTGCACATATTCAAGTTCAGTTTATGTTCTAAAACGGAAAACCTTTTTCTTCTAAAATACTCTTATCCTATTTGAAGCAACTGTGGATGTTTTCATTATCTAGCTTAATTAGCCAGTCTCTTATTTTGACCTCTGAACTCCACTATTATCACAAAGTTAGGAGTTCTGCAGGTTTACCATGCCCACTCTTTTAATTCAGTTGTTTCATTGCCTCGGTTTAACATGTCCCCTTCAGTTTCAGTGCCAACCTTTGAAAGTTGAGTAGACAAACCAGTAACTAAGTGTGGTTTGCAGTGCAGCTGCTGGGAAGTGAAACTTTTACTGGGCCTAGGTCTTAGAAGAGACGATTAATGCCTTTTTCTTACTAGCAGGACAAAGGATGCTAAATCTAAACTGGGAGTTGGGGGGCACTAAATTGCAGAGTTCAGAAGGCTTTTTTTACAGTGCACAGGAGAAGAGGATCCCCCATCTTTCCCTGAGGGTCCTCTATATCTCTGGCCTTGTCCTCAGCCTTTTAATCAAAGGAGGTAAAGCGATTAAAATAGTTTCCAAAGTAGTTGCTGCAAAAGCTATTCAATACCTGTAAGCACAAACAGGAAAATTAAAGCTATACGGGAATTACAGACCCAGGCCATATTTCTTTCTCTGTATCAAGGCCACATCTACTGGACTAGCAAAAAGTAAAGTGGGAAAGTGCAGAATTTCAATAACATTACCCTCTCCGAAATCTAGTAAGCGATTACTGAGCTAATGCAAGTTATTATGCCAAATAGCCCCCTTGATGCAAATGCTCAATAAAGATTTTGAATTAAATGAGGGAGGACTGTGCAAAGTGCTGGAATACATCCTACTTCTGCTTGCTGTCAATTTCCTTGGGATGCTTTGGGTTCAGGGAGGTGCCAAGTGTCTTCTAGCAGCACAGAAATCCTCTGCTCTGTGGATAGGATGGTGTAAGCATGCTTTAACTCCTTTGGGTGGAGCCAGTTGTTCAGTTCAGCTTCTTTTCTCCAGTAGATCTCAGTATTTTTTTTATTCCAGATATTTAGGGCAATACTAAGTAATTGCTAAAAGGAGACAAAATAACTCATTTTTTTTTTCTGTAGCTATTTCCCTAGCTATTTCTAGAGCAGTCTCTTTTGCTGGATTGAGAGAGACTTACATACTTAGTAACAACTGGTTTTGGTGCAATCAGCTTCTACAGAAATGCACTTGGGTTATATTATAAACTTGTCTTGTAGGCTTCTGCTATGAGATCTGTTTGAGTAAAGGGACAAAACTAAGAAGGCTTCCTATCCATCTGTACCAGTACTCGAGTCCTCGGTATGTTGCCGCACCTTTGGTCCTTGTTGAAGCCAGAGGGACTCCCATGCCATCATAGCAATCCTGTCAATGATATTGGTTGCTGGTTTAGAACTTCAGACAGAAATGACAGCAGTAATTTCTTTTCTCTAATCCTAGTTATCAACATATGCCTTCCAAAATATCATTTGCTGTTGCACAGGCTTGGGTTTAGCTTAAGATCATGAACTGCCTTGAACTACAACTGTTTTATAAATCTTCTTAAGCCAAGTGAAAGGGACACTGCCAATAGCCTTTTCTGTCCTGATAATAATTGAACGTGTTCTTTTACAGCTGCTGTTTCATTACAGTGAAACAACATCCTCGCTTTAATTTTATTTTTTTAACCTTGTGAATGCAATCTTAGAATTGAAGCAAATGGAAAACAATGGAGTTATCGAGAAAACAGGCTTCCATTAAGCAAAAGCATCTAGAGAAGATGGTATGATTAAATGGTATGAATTTGGGCAAGTTAGCTCAGTTCTTGCTAACATGGGGTTTCACAGGCTGCGCCCCATAACCATTTTATATAAGAATTAACGCTGTATGTCTTTCCCTTGACTGGCAAGCTGACAAACATTTTTAAAAGCTTAATGGTAACATTAAATATGCTCTCGTACAACTGAAAAAAAAAATAATAATCAAGTTACTTTCATTTATACGGCTTTACATAAAAATAAAAGCAGCATCAACAGCTTTTGTTAAAAAGATAAAACGAGCCATTTTGAGTAAGGCAAAGCAATATTAGAACACTTAAGTTCTCAAAAGCTTACTCTACTTATAAAGCAATCTGTGTACAGAGCCTCAATTTACAGAATTAACACAATTCTGAACATATTTTCGGTGATTATTCTAGTACCAATTTATTTTTTAAGGAGAATTACTGCAGAGGGTACAAACCTGGTGAGGAACCTTATCAGTGCAGCCATAGGCTAAAAACTCACAAAAATTTGGAAGCAAAAACTGGTCAACAGGATTTTGAATGGAACTGACAGCAGATTGTAGGACACTAGTGTCTTAATAAAGGGAAAACTGTTAAAAAAACCCCACACAACTTTTTTCAAGCTTTTTGAAAATTCAAGATGCTGATCCATTGCAACAACCATTCATAATGGAGTAAAACGATGAAAAATAAAGCACTTCCAAGTAACCTAGAAACAATAATGAGTAAGTAAGTTTATATTCATGGGCATAACCCAGATCATCAACAAGACACACTTATTTTCTTTAAAAGTAAAAATGGTTCCAGTCAGTCTGGGAACAGAGTCCTGCAAACACTTAAGTTCAGAGCATAACTTTGCTGGTGTGGCTATAGCTGGATAAAGCATAACCTTGGTTTAATTGCTATTGATCTTAGGAAAGTTTTGCAGCAGAAGTTTCTGGTGTACCTAAGTAATAACAAATCCCTAGAACAGAGGCTGTGGCTAAGTTGTTTAACAGTCTTCATGGGGTTTTCCTTTTTTGTCTGCAAGAACATTGCATTATTTTTCCATGTATTTCCTATAAAGAGTATACTCTCAGAAGTTAAGGGACGGTAATAACGTCTGCTTTTCATTTTGCATACATATGTAGGGACAAGCTATACGGAATACTTGTTGCTAGGTGGTTTTATTAATACATTTTAAACTGTAATTGAAAAAAAGAAAGAGAAAGAAAAAGAAGAAATATTTTCTTCTCTGACCATGTACTTGTATTAATTTAGCCAACTCAGAGCTAAAATTACTCCAAAGTGCTTTTCTTGGAACAACACTTTCAAAGAGTAAAATACAAACAGGAACATTCTCTGTTTCGTGACTACTTACATATATGCATCATTTTAGTTTCAGCTTGCATGTTCTTGAAACAGCATAAGCAAGTTCTAATATTTTTAAGCATTTTCAAGCCTATAATTTGGCAGGTCCCTAGAGGAGGTGAAACATTCACCATAATGAAAGGGAAAGCTGTTTTTCAATTGAGAGAGAAACTTGGTTCTGCAAAGTATGGGATATTCTCATGATAGAAGGACTATTTTTAGCCAGAGCCCCTTTTAGCGATTCTGTTGAACTGAACAGTGAAATGGTCCCTGCTAGGTTTTGCAGCATAATGAGCTGGTTTTCAGGAAAAAGAAAAAAAAAAAAAAGAAAAAAAAGAATAAAAAAGCTGGAAGTTTGGCAAGGATGATCTCTATTTATATTTACATATAAAGAGAGGCAAGACTCACTGTTGTTGTGTTCACATTGTACTCACTGCTAACTCTTTGTGTAATTTGAGTGCTTGTTGTCTTTGTACAATTTTAAGGTTGTGTCTAACTTTCAAAATAAATTGTTTTTAACAAAGCTTCTCTTTGTAATAATGCTATTAGAGATTGCTCTCTTTTGGGCTAGTGAAGATGCTTTATTTTTGATTTGGTGGTAAAGATGTTTTGCTGATGGTAAGTGGCCACAGAAACGGCTTTATTTAAAAAAAGCGATGAACTTACAATTAGATACTGGAGTGAGACTGAAAATACCTGTGTCCTGCAGTGCCACAAGACTTCCCGTTAGAACAGTAATATCAGAGTAAGTGATTTAAGTTTTTATATTAAAATATTAATGAAAAAGAAATACTTTACTTTGTAAAGTTTTCACTCAGTAATGGAAAAATGGTCCTTTTTTAAAAAAATAAATAAATAAACAAATTCCTTTTTCATAGAATTTATGCATGATCTCTTGTTTTGCCAAGCAGGTGGATAAAGAACATATGGTAGGTCACGTATAATGGTAATTTAAGATAGAAATGGGTGGTCACAGGAAAAAATAATGTACATGCTAGTTAGTTTAAGGTAGTATCAAACTATATGTTGAAGTGTTTTTTTGGTGTATCTGTGCAACCGCATTGAAGTCTGTTTCAGGATCACTTATACAGCACCCCTGTTTCCTGTCAAGTATGTGACCTTCTTAAGGGTGACAGGAATTCCCTAACTATGCCTGCTGTTGCAATTGAACACCAAGAGAAGTAATTGTTATGCATTTAGACATTGCAGTAAGTGATTTGCAGGTATAGGATCTTGCAGCTGCCTAATGCTTCAAGTCTTTTCAGGATGGGCTTCTGCAGCCTGGAAGAATTGGGTCTTTCCAAACTATCTGCAGAAAGGTCATAGTTTGATCTCTGTCGCCCTTGGGGACTTCATGAAAATTGAGAACATAACATCAGCCCATCAAGATTATCGAGTTTAGGTTTGATTGTTTACATGTCCCTTTTCCTGACATCTTATCTGGCTTGACATCTTATGATAGATCAGTGATAAATTCATGTAACGTCTTGACTCAAAGTTATTAATCATTACTTTCTCATTTTCAGGCCACAGCACATTAAGATCAAGTTGCTTTTTTTTTTTGCCTTTCTACCAAATGGAAAAGCAGAAAAGAAACAGACATACCCTGTGGGCTCAGTGAAAGGTCGCTCACATAGTTAAGATTTACTTGCATCTGGAGCAACAGTGTGTGCCAGTAGCGACCTTGAGAGCAGGGGAGGAGTGAGACATACAAGTTTTGCATCCTGAAGCACATCCTGACAAAAAACAGAGCACAGCCTGGGAACTGAAACCTGTCTTGATAGTAGAATAATTGTTATTGTGATAAGCTCAGTAGAAGGTAAAAAAATATTTTTGTAAGTCCATGATTGGGCATTATGGGGGGTGTAGGTTTCTGTCTTAGTGTATAAAAGTCTCTCTGTGTAGCAATAAAGATGGTCGAATTGGATTTTTGGATTCGCTTGCTGCATGACCTACGAGTCCGTGATTTCTTCATACGCCACAATACCCTTTTGCAAAGTTTTCTTATGTGGACAATTGCACTCTGAAACAGCATCTCAATACTTGCAAAATCAACATCTCAGTAAGGATTTGGGTGGAAGCTGATGCAGAATCAGATGAAGTACATACATAAAGTTTAGTAGTTAGGCCACACGAAATTCTTACAATGACATTTTACTTTCTTAAGTGAATCATGCTGTTTAACCCACATCCAAGATGCAATAGGATGAAGTACACATAACTGCTTTTAGGACACATTCATACTGATAATTAAGTTTGGCATTTGCATAGGCTGGACACCAGAGATTGAAGGACAGACCATCTGTGACAGCTTTGCTTAAGTCAGGTAAGGATTTTTTATTTTTTTTTTTGTCACCACTTTTCTCTTTCTACAAGGGGTTTGGAATTTGTGGGTCTTCTGGTGACAGAAGCCACCTCTTTCATATTCAAAAGCAGTAGTTCGTCTCAAGTAAAACCATGAGGTGCAGGTTTTGACACAGGATATAGAGAACCACTGCAGCTGTCACTCAGGCTTGACAGAGTGCAGCCTCAGGACCAGAATTGCCCCTGAAACTAATTGTTATATATTAAGCATGCTTAATACAGTTCTAGTCTATAAAATAGGAAATTAATTATAAAATGGCTATTCAGCAATTGTTTATCATTTCTATTTCAGTCCCCTTGAGTTTAGCTTTTGAGTTTCCCAACTCCATGCTCACTTAATTAAGGTTTCAGAAGCCAAAAACATTTGAAGATTTATTCTTGCAAAAACCCATCTATTTTGCTAGATCTCTCCTAGGCTTGGAGGAGGACTTGAGGAGTATTACTGGTTTCGGTTGGTATGCAAAGCCTGTGTTCAGCCGAGCTAAATAAGCACAAGCAATTTACATTTATTCATGCTTTAGATTTATCTAAGCACTTAGCTCTCCCTCTGTGTCTTCTCCTGTCTAGCAGTGCACGGGAAGGGGAAGTAAAAGCAGAGGACTACTAAAGTGCAGTGGAGTGACCAGTACTCTCACGTGTGCTACATGAACACATTAAAACACATTCATTAGGAATTTTCTACTCTCCTTCAGTGGATACTTTTACTTTTTCCTCCTAAATGATCCTTCTGTTCAGTAAGAATTACTGTGTCCCTGAGGAAAATGAGGAAATCTTCCATTTTCTCCTAACCAATAGAGTAGCTTACAACAATGCAGTGGAAGGAAGGTATCATTCAGTAGTTCTGTTCAAAGCTGGAAGAAAAACAATTAAGTGCTTTAGAGGTTCTTAGGGGGGTTTTGAATATTGGTTTGCTTAAGTATCTTTTTTAATCTGTCCTTCAGTGTACAGACTAGCTCCCAAATTCAGTATTAGATTTCACTGCAGTAAATGAGACCTCCTTACCTTAATTCTTTTGTAATTAGCTTTAAATTGCTTCCTCCTTCCCCTTATTTCTGAAGCCTGTCATTACCATAAGATGAATCCAATAACTAGAATACCCATGCTTGCACTTAGGGAGGTGTTTTATATACAACAAACCCCCGAGTAGATTCTTAACCAGCCCAATATTGAATGAACTGACAGCCCCTGTGAGAGCGCCCAGGCCCATGCTCGGTCTGCACTTTAGAACCTGGTGCAAGATGTTGACTTAAAGCTTAGCTCTTCTCAGTAATTGCTGGGGAAAAAGCAGGGCGATGCGGAGACTCTCATTTTGTGGGAAAAGGAAAGAACTTGCATATAAACGAAGTAACTGATCCCTCCTTTAGCAGGGAGCTATGGTGGTAAGACATGAGAACAGGCCGCATGGGCCAGCTGTAGCTCAGGCAGCAGCACGTACTACTGCAAGCTGCATGATCAGTGCTGACAGGCAAAGAGCTGGATGGGAGACTCTAAACTGTTGTTCCTTGCAGATGCTAAAGCTTCTTCATATAGTGTAGTGAAGACAATTTTCAGCAGACTTACTGGAACCTGCTATCTAAGCACCATATCACTCTATGTGGTTGGAGGCCAATGCTTAACCACCTGCAAACAGGGAAGACACAACCCCAAACCACAACCTGGTCTTGCCAGAAGAAAACATGAGGTGGAACAGAAGAAACATTACACAGCTAGGGTTTTTTTTAAACTTGCTTTCAGCAAAGAATCAGCAGATATGACAAAGTGGACTGAATCAAGCAAAGAAAGTTTTTATTAATAGTAATCCTCTGGTGTTTAAGATGAGCTGAATTTTGTTTTAAATTTGAAATCTTAATTTAATTTGAAATTTTAATTTAACCTGAATATTTTTTTTTTAGCCTCTTCCTGAAAATAGTATCCAACACACACAGAACTGAGGTAATCCTTGTGTTTAAATTGCATTGAATTCTCTCAGTCCTTTAAATACTTGGCATCTGTTAGGATTCAGCTGAGCTCTGATTTGCGTATAGCAAAGAAGTCACTGAATTATTGCAGATAGTGGAAATCAGTGCCATCTAGTGACATCTTCTTCTGCCATCTCCAAATGATATGTCGTCTTGAATGAAACTCATAGGCTCCTCCCACTCCTAGTTATGCAGTTTTAGATTAGGACTCTCAATTCTTTGTTTGGTAAATAGATATTTTTTATTTACTAAGTATTTACTATCCTTTGAAACACCCTTTTAAAGCAAAACTAGAATATTTTAGTGTCTCAAATTGAAGACTGATTTTATCAAAAAACTAGAATGTAAATTACTGTTTGGAGATCTAAAAGATCTAATTTATAACTTAACAATATCACAAAAATAAAAACTCCCAGGAACGTCTCAAGGAGGTAATCAAGTCTTAACAAGAAAACATGAAATTTTCAGATTCTTTGCCACCTTCCAGCAGGTTCTCAAAATACCTCACCAAAAATACCCACAACCCTACTCTTAAGCAGAAAGGAGATAAAGGAAATAACGAAGTGTCAGCAGCTATAGGAGAAGTCACATTTGCCAAAAGCTTTTTAAGAAAAAGGCTCCAAAAATCACTGATGAGTGCCCAAGAGACTTACTATTGAAAATACAACAAGAAGAATCCTCACAAACCACATACAGTATGCAGTACAGGAAATACGTGCTCCTTCCTGCCACTCTGACCCACCTCACCCAAAACAGTAACATATGACTGTACCTGTCCTACAGTACAGAATACTTCCACGAAGTCACCAAAAGGAATTATATACCTAGAAAACCAATCTCAAAACACCACAGAGAACAGACAAAACCTTGTCCTATTAAAACACTTGTCAGTAGCTAAGGACTCAGCCCAAAACAGCTCTTCTAATGAGAATGCAGAGATTATGTACCAACTACTAATATCACATTCCTAGCGTAAACTTTGCATAACTCAACATCAACACAAGCAGAAATTACACTGTCAAGAAACACACCCCTTAATGACCAGTTTTACTAGCTAAGATAGCTATGGATTCAACCACTAGATGTCTTCCCTATACAAAAATGCAATTTGCAGTACTAGTATTTTGTCTCCAGTGGAAGTATGCTCTGTGTGCAGTTACACTCAAGGAGTTTTCCTTCATAAAGATTTTCCATTTAGGCTGGATTGTAATTTTTGTAAGGCTATTTCAGTTTCTCATGAACATCAGTATGATTCTCCTGATCATCAAGTACCTCACCAGATACTCCCAAACACAAAATTTTGGAAAGCTGTTCAATTATTTCCTCCAAAATATTACTTTGAAAAAATCCTGATAATTTAGATTTTGTTAATGCATAATATGAATATATTTGGTCTAAAAAGCTTGCAATATTTGGAATAGTTCAGTCAGAAGGTACCTACAACGATCATCTGGTCCAACTGCCTGACCACAAGTTAGAGCATGTTTCTGAGGGCATTGTCCAAATGCCTTTTAAACACTGACAGGCTGGAAACATGGACCCTTTCTTTAGGAAGCCTGTTCCAGTGTTTAACTACCCTCTTGGTAAAGAATGTTTCGTAACATCAAGTCTAAACCTCCCTATTTTAACATAGGATTTCATAACTGCATTAATTTTTTCTGTTTTCTATTTGTGGTTGTATTTGCATTACAAGGAGAAGTGATAATTGCCATGTATGAGGCTCCTTTTCAACCTTAGTTTGGTTTTAATGTTATGAAGAAACTCTGCATTGACAGAATTTTTTGGGAAGATTCAGCATTTTAGAAATATTTTGGGGAAAAAGATGTTGAGGACATGCTGAAAAAAGAACCCACAAAATCAAATTGTTGGCCTTATGAGGATGCTAAGACTAAATAGTAGAAGCAATCATCTCTTACAGTGCAGATCATTGTGGATTAACCTACTGCAAAGTGAGACTATTCAGATGTGTTTCTGACATCTACCAGCTTGTGAAGAGTGAATATTTTGGGCTTCTTAATTTGTTGATGTTGGATTGGAGTAATACACAAGGACCAAACAAGTTTAAAATACTGTTGTGCATCCCTTCCCTCTGCTATATCACTGCTTGTAAAACCAAAACCTCAATTGTAGGAGCACCTTTCAAAAAAATAAAACCTGCAGCTATGTTTGTTACCCTGTAAGGGGAGCCAGAGAAGAGTGTAATATGTTTTGCCTTGAACTACAGAGAAGTTCTGAGATGATGTGAGATGATCAAGCAGTTCATGTTTCAACCACACAAAGAGAGACAACTGTGCAATCAGCGAGATTTTTTGCAGAATCGTTGCTTCCCCACCTCTTTTTGCACTGTCTTGAGAGAACAAGAAGAAAAGGCTGTCAGCTCAGGCACGTTACCCGGGGTAAACCCAACAGGATGCAGGAGGCCATCTGAACTGCACTTTTTAAACCTGCGGGAACCTCTCCTCTCTACCATGCCCAGAGAATGAAGGCTCCTCTAGTCATGATGATGCAAAGGATATTACCCTACATCCTTCTAGTAATGCTGGCTCAGAGCAACTATCAAGTTTACGGTAAGATGCAGTCTTATAATTTAACCTGTCTGTAGTTATTAAACATTGAGGGGAGAGAACAGAAACCAAAGCAGTGCTTCGTGTACCTTGGGTATAATCTTTGTCTTATTTTATTACCATATCAGAGCCTTCTAATTTGATTAAAGACAATGATGATGACAATAATTGAGAAGTATTAGGTAACGGTCTACTCCAGAACTCTAGCACTTGGGGATCAAATTCATATTCCTTCATGGTCAGAGGCTCTGGTTTCAAGGGGTTTGGCAGCATTCAAGCCTCTGCTTGAAATCCAGGAATCCTACTAGCATTTAAGCTGGATCCAGCAAATTGTCCTTACCAGTAAGCGTACCTTCAATTAGTTGTCTTAAATCCATCTGATTTTCATCCTGCTTTCAAATTTTAACCTCCACAGTTTTTAACTAGAGAGGTTCTCTTAATTTGGACTGATGTGAGCACTAAACTGTGTGTAGTACACTCCTAATATTTTTACTAGAGATTATTTTGTTTCATGTGCTTCCCTTGTAATATCATATAGGAGAAATAAATTTTGAAAGAAAGGCTACAGAAAGAATAATAGCTACTGTAATGGATGCACTCAGCTGCTGTTGATACATTTTCGATATTTCAACTGATAAATTGACCAAAATAACATTTATGTAATTTTAGCAGTGCCTTGTAACAAGCAAATTGAATTGGCTTTGTGATACCTAGTTGACATGCGTGACTAACTCTGCAAATCTACAGCATCTTTCCACGCTTCTTGTTTTTATGAATAAAGCACATTATTAATACTAATCAAAGCAGTTAAACAAGCATTCAGAACATCTGCCTGGGAAGGGAGACCCACATATTTAGCTTAAAAGACTTGAATCACCAGGTCCGTTAGATGCAGCTGTGTCTTAATCAGCATGTGATCTGAGCTCAGGGAGGTTACTGGACTGCTTTACATTTGATTTTCAAATGAATAAACTAACATACTTCTGAAAGGGAGGTATCTAGAGCTTATAACCTCCTTCATACTCTAAATAGAAGCATCTTCTTTTCTTGTAAGAGTTAACTACTGTTTCTATTCACTTCATTAAGTCTTACTGCGTTATTTAGTCCCTCACACAATCACCTCTCTGCATCACCCTGTACAGTTCATTAATATGCAGATGAACCGGCCATACTCATCTGCCAGGTTCCTAGATTCTGCTTTTAAAAGAGAATGTAATTTCTGGTATGCTGCTTATAGCATGTATCTTGTTTACACAGAATTTATTTGCTAGGTTTTATTTTTTGATCTACCTCAGAGCTCCTCGGGGTCCTTTGAGAACAGTACCATTTCCGTCTACACACCAATATTACTACAAGTATCAGATTCATGCTTATTGGAGCACTCCAGAAAGAAAAGTTTTCCAAGTCAGTCTCTACAGAACCATGATGTAAATGGTTTTTTTTTAATGTATTTACATTTTTTCCCCTCAGTTTTCCAAGCTTGTTTGCTTTTTATTTCGAAGTAAGCTGAAAATCAAAGCAAACTTTATCTAAGCCTTGTATGTTGCAAATCTGTCCTAAGCTTCTGTACGCCTAACAAAGTTGACCACTCAGATTTCATATACAAAGTCAATAATCAGCAAATCTTCTCTAAATTCCAGAAAGAGAAGCCAATTTATTTCTGATAAGTCACAACCAGAAGGACCTTCTCCCCTCTCACCCCAGTAATTTTAGTCCTGTTATATCCTGTTTCTTTTGTAACACCAGAAAAGAGGTTGTTCCCACCCAGTAGCACAACGAGTGGTTGTTGCTGTCTGGGCAGCATACACAAAATAAAGCAGTTCATACCAAAGAGAATAAAACCCAACAAACCTCCCCTCGCTCTGAAACCTCAGCCTGTCACTAAGCAAATGCACACTGATGGTGGACCCAGTTCTGTGCTCTAATAGCACCTTATTCTTAGACCTTCTTGTGTGATCACCTGCACATGCTAACGTTCAGTTCAACGGAAACATTCCATCTTCAAGTTTCAGTCGTCAAAATATAAAGACATATTTTCTGTACCTACGCATCTTTCATCAAAGAATAGTTAAAAAATGATGCAACTCTTCATCAACTACCTCAGTAAGCAGGTCAGTTTTAGAAATACTACCGCTGCCAGAAATAAAACAAACAGAAAACCAACAAGAAACCCAGAAAATCCTTCATCGTATGCCAAGTCCATAGAAAAAATACATGACTGTATCTTTAAGATTATAAGGGAAAAATTGAATTAAGAGGACTAACATGAAATTTCTATTACCAAAATGACATTCCTTGAAAAATTCAAGTTGTGATATAAATAATAAAATTGCTAAAATAAAATTTTACATCATTCCTTAAAAAGCCTTCTCTGAAGCTGGGAGAAGTCTGAGCAAGGCCCATTCACGTATCCCTTAATATGTCTTCTGAAGTACTTCTCTTTCTAAATACACCTTACCTAAATTCCAGAAAGGACATATTTTCCATGAGTTCTCCTCAAAGTCCATTCCCTTTTTGTTGTTAAAATTAACAGAGTCACGAGGATCTCAGTGTTAAGTGTGAAATCCCAACAAATCAATGCACTTTCTGGTATAGATTTTGTGCTATGGCCCCAATCTTCCCAGAGCATTGGACTCAAGATAAAACCATTATTAGTCCTTCATTGTGTTCACAGACAGACCCAATGTAGGATTCAAAACTAACTGTAGACATTTATTTCCATGAATAATTGACTTTTTGTACCTCAGCCATTGTCTGCCTCAAGGTATGATTTTTTTTTTTTTTTAAAGGGAGAACAGAGGGAAAAACAAAGTAAAGAGAAATCCTTTTGAAAACAAATGCCTCAGAAGTTTCAACTAATAAGTTCTAGTTTACTGGAGTTGTTCTGAGTTCTTAGATGACCAGGTGTGAATGACACCATTAATAATTCAAAGATTAGAAGGCTCAAATTTTAGCTATTATTTTTCTACTAATGGGCTGAATTAGGTAAATGGAAAGCCATTTCCACTTAACCTCTTTTACTTGCAAAACAGTTATATCATGACTATGTTTTCTATAACATAAGAAAAAAGAATTAAATTTGTTTGTTTTGTTTTTTTATAAAAGAAAGTATTGTCATATGTATTTCCCAGTTGTACGAATTATGGATTACATACTTTCATTTGAAATCCCTATCTTGGCAGTACACCACACAGATCTTCCTTACCTGTGCAAATTAATTCTTGTTGTCTTCAATTCAATGTCTCTACCACTGACTTCTCATAAGCCACAGGAGGCAGGAAATAAAGAGAAGTTAAAGTACGCTGTCACAAGAAGAGTAACCAAGCCATGTTAGCGCTCATTCCTTGATTGAAGTTTATTTCATGTATGTCTTTCTAATGACCAATGAACAGAAAAGGTTCTCTCTCATTATCAGGTGTGTCGATTTTTTTTCCCCCTCTTAAAAAAAAAAAAAAGATATTCCTAAATCTCTAGGATATTATGGTTTATATTGTTACTTAATCCTAAATCTTCATTGACACCTATTCCTGTGAAATGGCTTTTACAGGAAATCTGTGAAAGATATTTTAAAACTTTGCCTTAAATATTTTATTCTATATAAAAAAGTTCCCCGATAAATTCGTTTTTAAAAGGATTTTCTCCACAGCTTTTTATCCGCTTGAAGTTTCTTGCCAAGTGAGGTGTGGTTTGGGAGAGAGGAAAGGTTAATTAGAGATTTTAAGGCATGTTTATTATGAATTCACGCATTTAATTACTAGAGGAAAAAAAAAAAAAAAGGTGGGTTATAGGAAAAGGTTTTTTCTAGACAACACTTTTAGTTATGGAAGTTCAAAATAATTCATACTAAGAATTTCCCAAAGCCTGAGAAAAGTGTGTAGCTTTTATTCACTCATCTATTCTGATGACACTGTTCTAGAAGGTCCATAAACTGATGGCTAATAACATTTATTAATACTAATACCAAGGACTAAGTTTCTTCGCAAAAAGTTGAAAACCCAAAGCCTAAGTCATTCAGCCATCAGTCATTAACAAGTCACAGAAATATACAAAAGCAATTGTATGTTATTTTGCATGCTCCAAGCATTGTCTCATAACAATTAAAAAAAAAAAAAAAAAATTAAACATGGCCTAAAGTCTAATTGCTTTAAGTTTCTGAAAGGAACACCCTTTTGGAAGCTCTGAGGACAGTTTACAGGTTCTCATACACACTGAAAGACAACCAGTAGCTTGTATTGCTCCTGGTTAGAAAGCTCAAAAGATTGCTCTATATGACTGACACAGAAAAAAAAAAAAAAAAAAAAAAAATCACAGAATAAAATAGTGGTATTTACCTCACACCCACACACTTCTTCCAAGGGATCCATAAATGTTAACTTAGAGAATTAAATCAATTTTCAGTAAACTAAATTTCTCTTACTAAGTCTATAGCTGCACTGGAAAAAAAAAATATTAAAAAAAGCCACTATAAACTAAAGGAAACAGAAGACTAAATGAAAGCAAATGCTCTCCACCCCCGCTTACTTTAAGGGAAAATAGGAAGAGGATTTGTACACTACGGTTAATTGACAGCAGGTTGCCAAGTACTTTCACCTGCATCAGCAGCCAGAAATGACGGCTAAGAGCCAACAGCTGCACGTAGATCGGTGTCATGCAAGCTTCGAGCTAAAAGTGCCTCTGAGGGTCAGTGTGGGAGGAGAGTTCTACTGCTTGGAAATCATGGGTAGATAATGATGCTAATGCGCTGGGTGGAAAATGCAGTACAAGTTTTCCCATGTGCGGTTCCCAAAGCTCAGTGGCATATTCCATAGGTAGCCTTCTGGAGGAAGTAAAGGTGTTGGAGTCAGGTCCACTCAATGGCAGGGAATTTTGCCCTGGAAATATGATTTAACCAGATCTGATTATTTTGGAATTATTCTGGCGAGTGAATGACCACCACCAAAAGTGAATGATCGCCACTGGAAGATGAAGGAGCAAAACTGTGTCACGTGTTGGCATAAGCACTTGGGGGAAAAAAAGCTGAAACTCTATTCCAGCTCACCTGAGAGACATACCAACAAGTTTTATTTGAACTCTCTTAAAAATATAATATGTGAACAATAGTAATGCAGATAATATCAATTCCAGTGGAACTGTTTTTTAAAAAACAAGTTGTACTAGAGTAAATCCTGTGTTAGCAGTGGAGTAACTCCTTATGATTTGATTGTTAGCAGTGTGGGGGGGTTGTATGGAGGTAAGTTTCTGGCTGTGGTATCAGAGCAAGCATATAACACCTGAACTGCTTATACCTTTCACCTATTGAGCAAGGGCTACACAAAAACTGCTCTCAAAGTATATCCAGACCTCAGTAAGGCTTCTGCTTGGGAAATGTCTATGTTCCCACTGAGGATGTGGCTGGAGCATATTTCAAAACTTTCTGTGGACCCATTATCACCCCAGTTCCCTCTCTCTTGGAGGTTCTGCCACTGAGTGTTTCTCTAGGTTACACTGACCAGTGCAAGACAATAATTTCTTTAGAGCGGAATTTAACATTGATAAGACATTTTCCTTGCCAACTACCTACACAACTGATGTTCATCTGAATGCATGAGGAGTAGTAACCCTGTCACAGGTGAGTGCTGTTGGATGTACGAAGTTTGCTCAATGCTGATCAGGTGATTCTTCCAAAAGTGACGGTGAGCAGTGACATATACTTTGTTGTAAAAGCACCAGATGATTCAAAATCAAGGAAAATGTGACATCCCTGCACTGGAAATGAATAAGAATGAAATAGGGACAACAATTCCTGCCTTTTTCCCTGGTTAATAATGATGCTGAATGAGAGACCATCACTGAAATCTGATTTAAAACTAGGAAAGAAATTGCACTTTTTGGACCTTCCAGAAAAGTCTTGAGTTTTGTTTTGGGTTTTTGGGGCTGTTTTTGTTACTTTAGGTTATTTTTCTAAAAGGCAATTTTGAAAAAGATAAAACTATATGATAAAATAATTAGATGAAGGACATCAGAAAATATTTGTTCTGCAGAGATCTGCATATCCTTCTGGAAGTACCTGCTACATAGGATTATATCAGAAAGAAGACTGCCATTGGGGCAAAATCTGAGCATTATAGATACTTCCTGCAGCATTATCTTCATTTGGCAATCGTTGCTCAAATAATTGAAACCGCTATGTTCTAATTTGAACTTCTAGTTTCCATTTTCTTCTACTGATAACCATGTGCTGCTACTGTGGTATGACCAAAGTAGATATGACCTACTTGTCTGAAACCAAATCATGCTTTTTTTTTAATCAGAGATGGGAAAGTCTAAGTGAAAGATAAGTGATCTCACTTCGTAACTAAAATATGTCTTTCAGAATTATCCCGTTCAGGGGAGCAGAAAAGGGACTAGATGACCGGGCAGGGCATTTTGACCTAAGACCTAAATTCTACCTAGTGAACATGGCCAGGCTCTACACATTAGAGCTGTTGCTTTTGCCGTATATTTGCCATGTCGCATACACTGCAATAAATATGTATATATTATGTATATATTTAATACAATAAATACTACACTTTATTATCTTATTCACACTAAATATCATATTATATTAAATATATTGCTATTACCACCACATCCATATGGATTGTCTGGGGGAGAACATCTCTTCCTGTACACCATATATTTACTTATAATCAGGAGGTACCATTGAGACAGTGCTGAGGCAGAAAGCTGATCACGGGAGTATCTTGCGTATCAGTGGAAATCACATAAGAAATGCCATTCTGCCTAGGACCAGTGCTCTGCCTCTGGCAGCAGCAAGAAGAAAGGCTGCTCAGGGAGACCACATGAGCACTGCCACTTTCTGTGATCCGTTGCCCTCCTGGCTCCCCAGCAATGGAACAATTGTACTGGGGACATGAGCATGTACATCTTTCCCAAGTCCTTCCAGTATCCATTTATGGCCCTGATGTCCATGAGCTTGTCCACATGACTAAATACACTGACAGGTTAGAAGGTAAATTCAGTTGTGTTATCCTAACAGATGTCAGTGTAGGATAGTCCTCAGGGCTGCCAGTGATTCAAATTCCAAGCTTCCACAAAAACTAGCTCTAGTATTACTGTTTTCAGACTATGCAATCAAGGTTCTTTGCTTCACTTTTGCCCTTTACTACTCTCCATACTTAACAGAAACATGAAAAACCAAATTATTTCATTCTTCTTTTATGTTTTTACATATTTTTATGATGTCCTTTCCTCTCATTGTTTTTCTTTTAGTGAAACAACCCCAAGAATTTCAAGCTTTCCTATATGGCCTTCTCATCATGTTTGTACTGTTTGCTGGCTGCCTTTTTTCCCTCCACTTGCCCCTTCTGCAAGGACCAATTTTAAAGTCTTTGTCTATGCTCCTTACCTGTGTGCTTTTGGCACTCTACTTGCCCCACATCAATCCTTATTTAAAGGCATCCTGGCTAATGGAAAGTCAGTATAAAAGATTGATTTCAGTTTTGGACCTCTCAAGGCAAAACTTCCCAGGATGCCAAGTTCTGTGAGCTGATATGTTTCTCTATGGCACATGGCAGAGATACACCAGAGACCACAATTTCTTGCAGTAGCTGAAAATAACAGCCTTACAGTAAATAAACTCTACCTCAATTTCAAGCAAGATAAGGCACATCTGATAGGGCAAAATGAGAACAATATTAAAGATTTAGGTTTAGAGGTGGATGAGTACTACCTAATTTTTAGAAACCTGTTCCCAAAGTTACCTTAAAGAGAATAAACCGAAAAATCAACAGTAGTGAAATATTATCTCTGCTATAATGCAGACAATGAACATATTTTAACTCAAAACTCAGAGTATAAATGCTCTACATTTTATTTATGGTGTGGAGTAGTCTGAGATTTGTTGAGAAAAGTCTTGCAAATTAGAGGTAATAAATGAAAACTATTAACCTGGCCATTCCAAACTCTTGTATATACTATCCAGGTATTCACAAGGATTGCCATAGCCTGTGCATAAGAAATCCTGGCTGGCGGTAGAGATGAGGTGTTTGGTGTCGCAGTTATGTGCACTGGCTGCCCCGGGGACCAGAGGCTCCATCCCTTGAAACAGCACTGGCTGCTGACAGACAGACCCCTCTGCTCCTGACCCTGCTCTTTCCTCCCTACACAACTTGCCTTCAACATACATCTCCATTTTTTTCTACTCCCCTGTATCAGCCAGAAGATACAGATATGTTTAAGATTTCTTTCTCAGGACTTGCAAGCAATCACTCTCTTCAGTGCACAAGCACTATGCCATAAGATAGGGTAGGGAACTAGAGAGCACATGGGTGTCACGTAGTTTTTTGCTACTTTGACTTAGCCAGGAAAATAAAACACTACAAGAAACATGAATCTTTAATAAAAGGTCAGGACATTCAATACCAAGGCCCAGAGTTAAAGTGACATACCATAGCTTGAACACTGACTTTAACAAAACATAACAAATATTTAAAAATAGAGATAAAATATATTTGCATTAAATACAATTATTTTCAATATTACAATTATAAAAAACTCTACCAAAGGAAAACCTTTACTTCTGTGTTAACAAGAACCGTGAAGTAAAAAATCTGAAGTAAATCTAAAAGTAACAAAAAATGTCTGTTAAAAGGACAAGACAGGAAAATGTGTAATGTATATTTTAAGTATTTTCTTTCTAAACTATTAAATTTCTAACTTGACTGAGATATAGAAAAAAGGGGAAAAATCATATCAGAGGGAGAAAGTAAATTTTAACCTAAAAACCAATAGCATCAGAAAGTAAATTTTAACCTAAAAACCAATAGTCTTGATGTTGTCTGCTGTCGCTGTCTCATATAGAGATCAGATCTGCTGCAAGTAGACATGGGAAGTTGTAAGTAGTGAGAGAGAAAAGAAACTGTGATTAGTGTTATGGGAAGTAACTGTGATTTTTGTTATGGTTTCCTTCTCTTCCAGGATTAAATGCCACGGATTGTCCAGGTAATATTCAAGTTCATAGACAGTCCTGGTACAAAGTTAATGTTGGGAACTCTTTGATTGTGCGCTGTCCAGTTCATTACTACAAGAGAAAGCCAGTCATGCAGTGGTGCAAGATGGAAGAGGCTACATGTGTGCAGCTGAAGGAGGGCAAAACAAAATGGAAGATCAACGTGTTTACTCTGGAGGTTATCTCAGTTCATCAGAAAGACAATGGATGTTATCGTTATCAAACAGTAGGGGACAACTTACTCAGTGTGAGCCATGGAATAGAGGCCACTGTTGAAGGTGAGGCCTCTATATTATGAAAGAGCCCTTTTAAACAGGAGGATACCATGTACACAAAAGCTCATGAATGCCGGATGATGGCTTCTCCCAACATGTTCGACTGGTAGCATAATTGTGCTGGTACCGACCACCACCTTCATGCTTCTTCCTGCCTCTTGGTAGGAAAGAACAAAATAAATAAATAATGAGAGGACCTGGAAGAGAAAAGCAAAGCTGCCAACACCAAACAGTCATTAGTGTACTATTTGATAAAAAAACCCGACACTAACTGGAACAAAAAAAGGTTGCTGGTTACGTGTATAACCATGTGGTTATACCTCACACGGACTAGACAGGATGCAAATGGTCATGTAGTAGCAGTCAATGAGGTCACACAACAGCAAAGAGGACAAAGCAATTCAAGCGTCTTGTTGAGAATGATGTCTCTTGCAACAAGCAGAGAGAAAGTACAATTTTGTACCCCAAGAAGTTCAAGAGCAGGAAGATTACAGTAGCTTTAAATGATCTTAAGGGCAAGTGAGGCCTTCGAATTAGCTTAGGCAGTTGGCATGCTGAAGTCTAGATTATGACGAGCCACATCTGCCCTCCTCAGCCTTGCTCTGCAACTAGAAAGTGACCATAGTGTCCTACTGACCCCAGGCAGCTCAGTTGTAAGATTGTTCTGTTGCCATTTCCTCTCCTGGTAAGTTAATGAACTTTAAAACCTCGCTTATTGCCACACGAAATGCTGCAACAGAAGGAGCAACATCCAAATTTATGGCTGTAATGTACTAGCAGACATGGTATATGCCCAGCTCATGATGCAAGTTTCCTTTGAAATATGTTCTGCTGATCTACATATTTGAATGCCAAAGAGGTCTGAAAGATAGAATTACTCTGTTGGCAGTGGGAGACCGACACGTCATTCCCCCTCCCCCCAAAACATACTACCCTTTGCTTGTTGCATTTTGTTCCCTCTTGCATCAGCAGATTGAAGGGGAGCCTTGTCAAGGCCGTGTCAGTATGCAGGATAGAGAACACAACTGCAGTACAAAATGTCAGGGTGCTGTTTCATTTCCCTGTTTTGCTTTTCTCTTTCAGAAAAGTCTGCAAATGCTACCACAGTTTCACCAGGAAGTAAGTTCTGATTCTTATTTCCTCTTTAAGAGAAAGGAACTAATCTGTATTGCTATGAATTTATGGTTAGAGTGTTTTGTGCAGTCAAGACAAATTTAAACTCACTGCTAAACTACAGTTGCTTTCTCCCCACGTGAACAAGATACAGTCTCTCAAGGGTCACAGTTTTCAAGGCTGGGACTGCCCAGCATTCAGCATAAAAGGGACAAAGCCAATCAAGTTACCCCCTGGTGGTGTACTCTACACTTCTGATATGCTCTTTAATAGCCCAGTGATATATGGCTTATACCTACAAAGCGTTAGGAATCATGCTATACCATCACTTCAACACAGCCTAAAGTACGGTTTTTACTTACAGTTGATTATTGTTCACAATTACAATTGCAGAAATATATTAGGAAGCTCAAAGCAGCGCTCCAATTCCAACCCTTTCTTTACCTCTGCCAGCCTTCTGCCATGCATCATTCACCAATTACACTTTCACGCACACTTTTCCTTCCAGTATCTTCATACTTTGTAGAATGCCCATGGGGATAAGGTTATCTCATGATACACTGTGCCAAAGTTTCAGAATGCTCAAGTACAATAGGAAACCAGTAGCATTAGAAAGACCTAACACTAAAAAAAAAAAAAAGCCAGTTAAATATTTCTCTGTGCTGATACATGTTAATGCAATTTTAGATACCACTAGCATCCCAGAAGGGTCCCAAGAATCTGGAAACTACAAGATATTGCACATTATTTATGCTTCAGCGTTTGTGGGTCTATGTTGTCCGTTCATCATCGTATGCATGTTTTGGTGTCTAAGGAGGCACCATGGTAAGTAGTTTTAGCATCTAACCTTGCCCTCGTATGCGTCTGGTTCCACTGCTTTTCACAGCTTCACAAATGTTGCATTCAAAGCTCTGTGAAAACCCCCTAATACTTACCACAACTGATTGCTGATGTATCCTTGTCAAACGCATCAGTTAGGATAATGAATCTTTAAGAGTTTACTTTGCCCCATGTATTGTGCCCTTCCAGGCATAGAGGGATGGAAGTAAAGTAAGAACAAATAAAAACTTCAGACTTTATAATAGTTAAAAATTTTCCTCCTGTTTTGCAAATAATCAATTTGTAAATAAACAGGAGTTTTAGCCATTCAAATGCAGTCAAGCTCTATCCAGTTACATTTTATATTCCTAGTTTTCCCTCTAAATTTTCAAATCATTACATTATTAATCTCTCTTCCTTTACAGGAACTCTTACACAGCTGCCATGTCCTAAATCAAGAATGGAAACTTCTTCAATATCTTAATTTCAATGATCTCACATCTACCTATTATAGTCCCATGGATTTCATTTTATTTTTCGATTTTAGGAAAATTAAATTTTTTCATCTCCCAATAAAATTTAACACGTTTGCTCATAGGATGGCTTTAGGATTTTCCGTGTCTTTTTCTCCCCAGCCATTTCACTGAACACAGAGAAAACTGGCCACAAGTACACTAGGAATTTTTCTGCTCCTATTCAGAGGAGCTCTGTGGAACACAGAAACTCATTCTGTAAATATATCTTTCTGTGTAGGTTAGCTTTTGTCAGAATAGCTATTCCCAAATCTAGTTTGGAAATAGACTTTTATTCTTTGAGGTCCACTCAACAAGGCAAGGACTCCTGTAGTAATTAATACTTCTTCCATAAGCAAATCACCTTCTTAATGCTGATTTATTGAAACTTTTTTTTTTCTTTTACCCAGCAAATCCAAAGAAAACTCAATTAACCCAACAGAGACAAGAGAGTCTGGTATGTATAAATTTTTCCATCACCAAAACCTGACCACATTCTACATAACCATGTACTGAGAACAAATCTGTGTAGTAGAAAACACATGCCACAATTATGTGGCATAATATCAGAGGCAGGTTTAGTGACCCTCTTGGTGCCTGGACAGCATGGCTTGCCTGGTGTGAGATATCACCATGGCTGAGATGAGGGAAGGAACTAAGGGTCTTAGCCACAAAGATACTTCAGGCATCTAAATTCCTGTTAAAAGTTATTAATTTGTCAGTAGTATTCCGGTAAGGGTTTAGGCACCTGAAGCGTGTCTTTTGTTCTGGTTCAAACCATCTGCATAAGACAAAAAATGACCTACAGAGCAAGGAAAATGATTGAAAAGAAAGACTAATATGTGGTTAGCGTGAATTCACACAGGTTTTGCAATCAGTTCCAGAGAATTCAGAGGGGCAGAAGGCCAAATGCAAAAGATGATACTGGAGTTGACAGCTATCAGTCACAGAGGTAGTGGTGTTGGGGATCAAAGGGCACCAAACAGGTTGCAGAGCTCCCAAAGGGCGAGCTGGAGGAAAGAAAATGAAGAGCAGTTTATTCTAAGTGGCAAAAAAAATGGATGTCAAAAGAGGACTTCATTAGATAGAGATGAATTTATAGAGGAATTTGCAGATTTTGGAGAAGGGAAAAGATTTATTTGGAAAATAATAAGAAAGGATAAGAAGCAAGAGATCATGAAATGGGACAATGAAGGAAAGGTAGTCTGGAGTTCAGAGTTAAAAATAAGAACAGTTTCATAAAATGGCAAAGGAAAGCCTTAAATGAGTGGCATAGAAGAGTTCTCACAAAATAATAAATCAGTTTTGCCTTAAGTTGGCATCTTACAAGAAAAGACATGAGGGTTTGGGAAGGGACATGGAGAAAGGCAGGAGATACAAGAATGATTCCAAACTTTATTTTGAAGATCAATATAAAATCCGGTGACCAGATGAATCCAATTCACCTGTGGTCAAAAGCCATTTTAAGGGGATAAAGCAACTTGAACAAAATTTTGCATGCCTCTTACTTAGCAGGAGCACAGGTAACAACCAGATTTGCACAGAGCTGTATCCTGTTCTCTTTTCTGCAGGTCAGAAATCCAGCGGCAGCTCCGTCCCACACTGCTGGGACAACTCAAGCTTCAGAAGAAAGCTCCTCGCTTTACTATTGCTCCATGGCTAGCCCACTGCAGGCCCTGAACAGCAACAGAATTTGTGACAATGATATCCCTCCTTGGAACCCTCAGAGGACAGCACCTAATGAACCTTACAATGATCCTGTTATTCCTTTCAGCCCAGTTGTACTTGAAAGCCCAGATGTCCTCACATATGCTACACTAAATCATTCTGCTTCTGCAGAAAGATGCCAGAGAAGGGTTCTAACTGTAGAAAATGAATTTACAGAATATGCCTCCATTAATGTAAATAAATAAATGTGGCAAGGAGTCAGGTTAATTTCTCACAAATGGGAGAATTTTCTAACATCCTTCTAAGGATTCAGTTTTTCATTCCGGTTTACTCTATCTCCTTTCAAAGTTCTTTGAACACCATGAATGTGTAAAGCTATTATTAACCAAAATCAAGTGAATACTTGTGTGTTTGTGTTTGGGGTTTTTTGGTGGAAGACAGGGAAGGAGGATACAGTTGTTTTCCTTTTTCAAAGAATTCTCACACACAATGTGTGAGAAAATAGTGCATATTGCTTTTGTCCATGATGAATCAGTGGAAATAACAAATGAACAGCAGTGACTGACTCCAGTCAAAATAAAAAGTAGTTGTTCACAAATAACAGTGCATAATGTGTCATGCTAAGCTTTCCTCCCAATACTGGCACAAAAAACTGATTATGCTTCATGCTCAGCTTTACAGGAAAGAAGATAAAAAGGAGGTAAAGATCAAGATGCCATTTGAAGTTTGAAAAGAATGCTTACACCCTTCTTCTGCACCACTTATTCAGCTCTAGCTTGGATACCTTACATCTCTTTTGCAAAATAATGTTCTTCAAAATTACTCTTAGTGATATTTGCGCCAGAGGTTTACAGCAGCAAGCAGATAGTCTGTAACTTGGTTAAAAGATTGCACCACAGTTGAAAAGGAAGGATGTAACTAGGTCTTAGGCTGCATGTAACACACCACATGATTTGCACTCAAGTTAATAGAAGAAAGTGAGGCTCTTCTATCTTCATATTGCATCATGGTATCACTCCAGCTAACGCCAAAGCTGTTAAGCACATACGCATTCACCCTGCTATTTTGGTAAGATAGGTGGTTTATTATGGTCATGGTACACTTGTGCTCTGCTTCCCCCCACCTTTGAGCTCAGTCACAATATCTGTGTGCCTAAAAATCCATGGTAATTGTTGCTTCACTAAGTCATTAGCTAAGGCCATCACACATGTTGATATTTGGTGGTTTGTTTTTTTTTTTTCAATATAGAAATCATCAATCCAGTAAATCACTGATAATCCTCATTAAAAAAAGTAATAGAAAACTGTCTTCTAGAAAAATTCAGTTTGCTCTTTTTGTTTTAGTGGACCAATCCTTGTACGGTTAAAGACTAATTATTTTAGGTGAAGGACTGGGAAACTTGGAGCAAGTTAGGCATGGATAGGCCCAGAAATAGACCCTTAATTGCATTTATTGCTCAGCTGATAAAGATACAATTATTTTCATAGACTACAAGTAGCTTTCAGAATAAGTAAAAAATGTTTCTCTGAAATAGATTCTACCTCAATGGTTTTAAACTGAAAAACAAGGACAGGCATTCAATGGAGAGCCTAAATGGATTTGAACAAAAGGCACGAAACTTCTCTAATTGCTTTCCATGGATACAGGCCTTGTAGCCAGAAGGGAAAGAATCAAAAGGCCATCCTTCTAGAGAAAAGTACATGAGAAACAATATGGTTCTTGAAGATGTTTTGCAATATTCTGCCCACACCATAGTACATAGAGGGAAGAGCCCAAAGACCCTCGGGAAGGAGAGGAGGGGTGCTAGGGACAGGCAGATTACCTGTTTGGGTTTCCAACAAGCCCTGTGTTGCATTCCTGTGGGCACATAACAGCTTTCCCTCTGTTACCTCCATGAGCTGAAAACACCATCAGGCCCATGCAGAGCAGCCCCAGAATGATGACTGGCAACTGGGACCTAGAACGAGACCAAACACACGTGGAAGAAGTATTGCACCATCAAGAGATGCAAAGGCTAGTGAAATCTTAACGTGGTTTGTTTCACCCATACGGCAAGGCTGAACCTTGGCTTAATGAGATCCTCAGAGAGCCAAGTTTGATTTGGAAGATCAGATTTTTGTAGATAAACAGGAAGTACCTCACCACCTTACCATCAAACATGCTAGCGTAGAAAAGTGAAGCACGGGAGCCTGCAGTAGGTTATTTTTTTTTTTTTTTAGCTAACAGATTGAAAGACTATGCCTTTCGAAGCAGGGAAACAAAAGGTGCCGAAACCATCTGCCTTTTAAGGTGTAGATAATCCAGTCAGATAAAGTACAGCATCACTCAGTTTTCACAGTCTTTTGAAAGACAAGAAAAAAGTTGTTATTTCCACTGTCAACTGTCCATAAAACTGGCCTATGAACAGAAGGACTGCACTATGTCATTTAAGGTGCTACATACCCATCTCAATCATCTAGTGCACCTCTTAATGATGTTTGAGACATCATACCCAATGACGGTTGTGTTAAGGCTTGGTGGTTGGCCTCCAGATTTTGCAGAGTATCATCCTACCAGAGAGGCAGGACACAAGTGGGAGCAGAGCAGTCTCACAAGTCACCCTGTGAGCTCAGTGTGTGACTGAAAGGAGCCAGTACTGGGTTAAACCATGCAGTGAAACCACACAATCACAACAGTGCACTAATGGAAACAGATAGGCTTGGGACCCATTCTGTGGGAGATGTACAGTACCTGTGCAGCCTCCCTGAGACTTGTCTGAGGGTCATTTATATTACATATTTTTCTACTTCTTTTCTTTGCTATTTTTGCACCAAATATGCTGTACAGGTAGAGTCACACAGGAAGCTCAAAGAACAGAAACAAAGCTGCACAGCTCTCGGTTACACCCACAAACCCGCATAGAAGGAAAACAGTGAAGTCTGTGGAGCTGAAGGTCTGTTAATGCCAGCAAAGCACATTATTGCTCGTCATTGTAATCTCTTTGTGCAAGGGAGGGACATGTAACTGGTCACTCCCTCCTGAGCAACCCACACAGCACACAAGCCTCTTACAAGATTAGATAGGATGATTGGGCTCTAAGACAGTAAAACACATCAACCGTCCTAGTTTTACTTTATCCAGGTATTCCTCCCCAAAATTTTGCTTCCTTATAAAGACATTAAAAAAATTAGAATAGCATGAGGCTTATTCATTTGCCAGCTCTTGGGCCCCAAATGTCTATCAGACAGGGGACTGCTTCTGGCAAGCCACAAATTTTTATATTGCTAGATCAAGCAACAACTTGCTGAGCCTTGCTTCTCCACATACCTGTTTTGCAATAGTTCCCCCCACATCCCCACAATAGCCTGAGACTTATTTTAGCTCATAAGGTTCATAGACAGTGAGAAGAGGGCAGAAGGGAGTGCTAAGGCTGAAAATATGAGAGAAGGGGAGCTCGCACCTCCAAGAAAAAGACATCGTCTTAGATTGCTAAGTTTCCTGCTGCTTTCCCCCTAAAAGAGTGGCCAGGGCAGTAAATTGTAGGAGTGCCCCCAAAACACAAAGAAATAGGGTGTACAGACAATGTTTGTTCCTCAGTTTGCCTCCTAGGTCCTTCTGTACCCACATTACCTGCACTGTGAAGGCAGTGGACTCAGGAAGAGAAAGGGGCAGCACAGACAGGTGAAACACAGGATAGTTCAGGACTCAGCAGCCAAGCTTCACACCAAAGCCTTGCTTCCTGCAGCCCAGCATTCCCTGTGCTGCCAGCTCAGATCTTTCCAAACTCCACACGAGTGATACCATTCCCTGGGTCTCCCTACATTCCATGTCCTCACTGAGGGACAGAGGACGCAAGGCTGGAACTGAGCCCTGGGACCAGACTACAGCACCAGCGTGGGTGCACAGGCAGGTTGAGGGAAGAGGCAAATATCCATTGGGCTGTTTTCTGTCCTGCTTCTTGCACAAGGTTCCTCATCCTGCAATCTCCATGGCTCCACGTCCCTACGCCATTTCATACCAACAAATGTCATCCCAGACAAACAGGAACAGTTGTACAGATGGTGGCCAGGGAAGAGAGAGGAGCAGATTTCAGGGGGAGACAGAGAGCAGGAGAAGGAGACCTGAATGAGCGTCCAGAAAAGGATCCCCAAGAAAGACCACCAGAGCCTAAAGGACAGCAGTTAGCTATGAAGCTTGAGATTAAAATGACCCCGTGTCCCTCAATGCATAAAAAAGTGAAGAAATCTCATTTTTCTGTGAGTTTTAAGTGGCGACTACTATTTTCCATTAAAAAAGCCTACACTGGGCTAGGCCTGTTCATGTGCAATTCCTGCTCACCAAATGAAAAAGAAAATGCCTACAAACCACATAAGCCCACATTTCCACCCATACAGGTCAGTGGCACATGTCAGACCCGTGAATCAACTGCACTCGTACTCAGTTTCACACAGGTGATCTTACCATGCCCTCTGCATTCCCAGCTACCACAGTTACATATTTAGCTTGAACTCAAACTTCAAACTCCTGTTCTCCTTTCTGCCTTCTCATACATAGACAGGCACCTCCAGGGACCCAGGAGATGGAACACTACTGCCATGGTTACTGGAATATAGCTAAAGCAACAGGGGATAATCAGTATTGGAAACACTGTTAACAGACTCAGCTTCTTACTATTATGAATCTTGGCCTGTAAAACAGAAAAGTTAATGTTATAATGGATTTGTGTAATTAATTATGCATCTTGTATAACTCATTTTAATCAGGAGATATGCCTTATCAACTGAAGCTTGGGGTAAGGAATGTGCTGGGCTTGAGATGTAACCAGACTTAACTAAGAACATGGGAGTGATCATTTTGCACAATTGAAGGCTAAAAATTTTCTGGCTTTAAGCTAGTGATATGACAGCTGAGTTCTCATCTGTGGCATTTATTCTCAGGTAAACCAGCTTGAATTCTTTTATCAGAAGAGATTTTTGAGATGGGCTAGTGCATATGCATTACTTTCTGGTTATCACGCCTGCATGTGGCATCACAGACTCCACTCAACAGCAGTGCTGCGGGGTTTGCTGCAGCGCAGCCACCTCTGCTGCTGAAACACAAACCTGTCATCCGGCAGAGAATCATACACACTCAGTTTCCACTGCGGCCTTGGAAAAGGGAAAGGCATTCAGAGGCAGGTAGCTTCAACAAGCACACTACTGGTGTACCAAAAGGAACTTTGGTTAGAAACCAACAGTAACTAATGGACAATCTCTCCAGCCCATCCTGGCAAGACACACGCATCGGGACTCAACACTTCCTAAAATCAAGCTGCCTTGGCTAATAAGGATCTCTTAGACTTATTAATAACCACCTGTCTATGTCTTTCCATCTGACATTGTGGCTAATAATATTTTCTGTGGGTACAACTTGCCCCACAGTTAGGGTAGTATCTAGAAGAAGGCACACTTACTGCATACACAGCATTGCTGCACGTAGCCAGATGCACCGACACAAGTCTACTGACTGAGACCTGGAACTGAGATCACGTGTCTTCAGGACTCAGCACTGTTCACTTTGTGGTCACAAAAAGCCAGCTTTTCACCTAGAACAAAGGGATCCAGCATCATCAAAATCTATGGAGCTACTTCACCTCAGACAAGCTGGTGCGTAGGTGTTTAGGTCTTACCTTCAGTTCTTCAAAGAATTGAAGGTAATCCATAAAGCCCCTATTCACAGATTTCTGGCTCCATTTGCAGAGTCTACATTTATTTTCTCATGTGCAATCTATTTTAAAACAATGCCTGTTTCAGTAAAAGAGATGGGATTATTGACTTATAGTGTGCACTAAGAAACTTGCCTTCTTTGTAGCATTTCTGGATTATGGGAAGGATGATGAAGCAAGGGTGGCTTCTGCTAAATTTCTTTCTTCCTTTTTTGAGTAGTTAATACTCAAAATTCTACTACCTAAACTTTACATGGAGGATTTAGCCTCATTTTGCTGCATTTCCACAAATTCTGCAGAGGCCCAGAACCTTTGGGAAATGCCATTTCAATTGCATTTAATAATAATAATAACAACAACAACAACAAAAACATAATATAGAATTAAATAACTTGCAGCTCCCTTTGTCTATGCCTTAGTCATTGACCATTGTGGTTTTCTGGAAGAAGTGGTAGCTTCAGTGGACCCTCCATTTTCTCAAGATAGTAATATTTAAAATGTTAACTACAGTAGCAACCTCTGTCACAATAGGAAACCAAGACACAAAACCTCACTTTATGTAATTTGTGGTCATAGTATCACTACCAGCTCTCCAACTGGGGACCTCACAGATGCACATGATGGTTGACTACCTCACTCAGAAGCTGAAAACCTCTCTGATCTATCAGCTTCCTCTTCTCTACAGGAAACTACTCTGGGAACTGAGTTCATTAAAAGTGATCTCACATAATAAGGAAGTGATGGGAAGTAATAAGCATGGTTTGATTTTGGACACTGACTCACCATGATGAAACAAAGGTTGAGCAGAAAAGGCTTTCAATATCCATGCAAGGCTCTAATCTTCCAGTATGGTTTCTTTTCTTTCTTGAAGGGGCTCCATAGCTTTAAGTCTACAAAAGAGAAATGAAAGACAAATCAGAGACAAGTCAGAAGTGTTAAAGAACTCTGGCTGACTTCAAATTAGAGGAGTGGGTGCCAGGAAACAAACTCAGAGTGTAAGTGAACAAAACAAGAACAAAAACTCTCCCTGGGATTCCGGAGCATCTCATGTTTCTTTGCAACAGTTCTCCTCGAAGGGTGTAGCTCTTGTTGAAGTGCAGATTTCCACTGTGATGTGCAAGTTGACAAATGCTCAGAGAGAGATTTTAACTGGGTCAAGTGTATGCGCAAGACTTCACTTCCTCATCTTCTGAAGATGTGCAGCACCTCTCTGTTGGCAAGAGGATGTCTGGTATCAGAATTAGCACTGCATCATCTGTCACCAGCACAGAAGGCCCTGGGAACTTTTTTCCCTAGCAAAAAAGAGAAGAAATGTAAGCCATCACTGAAGTAGTCTTTGTAACACGTTTCTCAACATGTTTGGCAAAAATGCACCCGTTTCACATCTAGGAAATGTGAGTGCTAGCTGCTTAGAAGTCAGACAATTTCTGGCTATCACGTCCAATAATGAAATGAAACTGCCTTCCTGAAAGCCATATGCACATGTTTTTGACTAAATATGATGCATCTGCTTTTGGTAAAGTGACCTGTGGCTATGCTTAAGATCACGGAAGATCTCACTTGGATGGGGCACTCTGGCCACCCCTTTGTCCAGCCTGACCCTACTTTAACTGCACCGAACTTTCAAGGTACACTAGGGTTGCTTAGGGCTGGGTGCTTTTCAACACTCCACCTTTCCCATCTGTACAATATATGAAATGACTTTACAATTACAGAGCAAAAGGCAAGAGAAAGAAGGCTGGGAAGGACAACATGATCCAGGACAAGATCACAATACTGAAGCCATCCCAAACTCGTTTCTAAAGATCTTTAGTGATGGTCTTGGTTACTCAAGACCATCTATTCCCACATCTTATAGTCATTACTAATAGAGGCTTTTCCTAAAGTTTAGGAAAACTTAAAGCCATTACTTCTTATTCTATTTGAAGCAGACACAGAGAACATGTACTCTTATCCTCTTTACAGTTTTACATTTATGTATTTGACGATATCACAGCTCACAATATACTACATGACCCCAAGTCTTTCAGCCCTTTCTCAGACTAACAGTCTTGCTGCTGTTCTCTCTGCTCTCTCAAATTGGTTGACATCTTTCTTGAAGCACAATGCCTAAAAATAGGACTTGCTACCTTCTAAGATCCCATTTCTCTGAATCAGCAAATACAGTTCTCAAATAATTCCTTAGCTGTTTTACGCGGGAGATCAATCAAGCAGTGCCCTGTGCTAGGTAAAAGATTGTGAATTCGTAGATCTGGAAACACCATTCTTGTTCCAGGAAACAGACAGGTACTGTGTAAAAACAATTTAAGGGTATAATGCCAAGGGACACATGGATTGTGAAAACTCTTTCTACAGCTAAAAATGAATTTGCAAATTATATGCATTTATTTTGCAAGGAGTTGTGACAATCCTGAGCCTGGACACACCTGCCAACACCTACTGCAAAAACTGTGGAAAGAGGAGCTAGGAGCGTAACTTCTTCCTTCCTTCCCCTGCAGAGATGACATAATATCCTTTTACCTTAGAAACTACAGAAATACATACTGGTTAGGCCAAATATATAACTGACCTGTTTCGGTGGTGAGTTTGCACGCAAATAGCTCAGCTTGTTGTTCTGTGGTTGGGGACCACAAAAATTCCCTGCAAACCCCATCCCGACCAAAGGTGACTGAGTTATGTGCTTTGACACACACAGGATGGGGCCTGAAGACAGACCAGAAAGAGAAGTTAGCTTAGATCTTTTGAAAACTTTGCTAAAATCTGTAAAAGCTATCTATCTGGCAAGCATGCTTCTAGATATGCAAGGTGAGAACTTGCATAATTGGAGAGGGTCATGCATACTGGGGAGGCTGCACTGCCTGGCTGGACACTGCAGCAGCCACAGCCACCACTGCCACCTGGTAGGTGAGAGGGAGATGACTCTTGTCCCCTTGATCCAAAATGACCACTGTCAGCATAAAGAACAATTCTCTGCAAAAAAAGGGTAAGAAGCATAACATCTAACCCACCAAGACTACCTGCTGCTGGGACCACAGCCAAGAAGCCCTCCTTCTGGCCATAATAATGCACAACCTCTCCATGTCCTGGAGGGTTAATCACCTGTGGCTTGAAGATCCCACTAGAGAGCTGATGTTCTATCCCCATCCCAGGGAGGTGCCCAGTGCTCAGGACTGGGGCTGCCCCTTGTGTCCCCTGGCTGCCCTTCTCCTGGCTGGGAGGTGGGACATGTCCTGGCTGGCAGAGCCTGCCCTGCTGCTCCAGGGACCCCCCGGCCCTGCTTCACCCTGACACAGGCACGAAAATGACCTGACATCCCGCTCCATTGCTGTTAGATACACTCTGATTTCTCTGGGGTGGAAGATATGAAAGGATATAAATAAAAAAGGCAAAACAATTTTCTGTTTTTACTTTATCTCATTACTGGGAAGGGTAAGGAGGAAAGTACCAGGCTTGTAAACCACACTATTGTCTTTCATTTTCTACATGTGTGGAAATTTTGGATGAATGTGTCAAAACATCCTGCTTCCTCTGGGAACTCTTTTTACTAACCCCCTGATAATCTGAACCTGCTTGAAAAACAATACCCTGAAGGTTAGATCTTGTCAGAATTAATTCCTGCGTATAAAGTGTCTAACGAGTCACAAGTGCAGGGCCACTGCCTGTGTAAAAAGCTGAGTAAAACCTCAAAGTCCTTCCAGGAGAAAATAATACACTTGAAATCTATTCAACATACGAAAAGCATACACAGAGAATAACTTCTATATTTCCTGCAAGTGGGTGAATAAGACTGATCAAACTGTCAGATCAACCCACTCACGTGCATTTTCAAGCCACATTTCCTTTTATAATAGACATCAGCATCCGAGTTTACCATCCTAATCTAATAGTTACTCCCAAATAGTTAAGTGAGGGAAAAGTCTCACAAAACAGTGGTTATTACTGAGGGAATACATGTCAAATATCCAAGAAAGCCTCAGAGGGGTTTGTCTACACCAAGGAAATTTTTCCTAGTATTTGCCAGTATTTTGCCTATCCATTGCTGTGAGGGGATGGCTGGTAGCTATGCTGGGAGCACACTCTTGGCCAGACTGACCGCCTCAGGATGTTCAAGCCTGGAGGATACTGCTCCACCCAGCCCAGCAACACCAAGAACCAAAAAAACTATGCTGTGATATCACCACCCTTCACTTCAGTGCTGGCAAAACCCCAGCTTAGTTATTCTGCAACCGCCAAAGGCAAAACTTTTAAGCCCTTTCCAGCCTAGACAAGGTCAGAATGCATGACCAAAACCACTGCCACCTGGCCATCTTCTGAAGAGAAGAGAGAAGAAAGGGCAGAGGAGAGCTGATGGGAGGATGCAGGAGTTCTACGGTGGCTCGGCTGTGCAGGGGCAGAACGCTTACCGCCTCTCGCTGTTCCCTCCCCTGGGCACACAGCATCTTCTCATCAGGCTTTTAAGGCCATAAAATGTTGGGCAGAAGACTACCGCTTTGGTAGAACACTAGATGGCAGAAAGCGGCCGAGATTGAGCATCAGCTGCGTCTTCCCTGAGAGCGAGATCCCTTGTTTCCACGCCCTCCACCTGCCAGCCCGCCCTCCTAAACAAGCACAACCGCCCTACGCCGCACAAACATCCAGCTAGTTCTGTCTTTTTTTAATTTCTATTTTTTGGGGTGGTATTTTGGGTGTTCTTTGGTTTTGTTTTGGCTTCTTACAGGGCTGAAAGGAGACGCGGCACCGGTTTTGGGGTGCCACTGATCTGTGGCAGAGGGGCGGTGCGTGAGCAGAACGTATTCTTTTTAGGGAAGGGCAGGTGCTTTTCTGCAGTTCTTTGGAACGCAGGGTGACATGCCACTAGCCAAAAATGGTTTTCATAGATTAAGAACAAAACAAAATTCTTATATCTTAAATTATATCCTTAATTGTTCACCCTTTTGCTCCTTCTCCTGAAGTGTTATGTGGCGAGAGAGAAAATCCCACAAAACCGTTGTAATTTCAGGGTCAAATGGGTTTATTCTGAGCAGTTTTCAGCACTATCAGCTGGGGTATCATTTTTATTTGCATTTTTGGCCAGAACAACTCTCATTTGCTTAACCAAAGAACACTAAATCCATTTTACAATATTTATTCAGTTTCGAGCCTTTTGTCTGTCTGCTTTTTAATTATTCTGGTGTCAGTGAAAGATCATACCATCAAAAAAGTTATAGTCCAAACAGAAACAGAGCAGGTTTCTTCTTAACAATGTCTCTGTCACCTCCTGTCTTTCTCTACCCAGAGGAATCCCCTACAAGGATGAAAGTTGCCCCTTGTTCCATCCCTGCCTCGAGCCCCTGCAGTCCCTGGCCACATGAAGCCAAGACAGGGAGGTGAATATCGTTTGTGTCTGTGACTCTCCAGTCACCACAGACCCCAAACCCTGCCCCCAGCCTGATAACAGGCTGCCTGCTACTTGGCAGCACTATTGCTGCAGGGCTTGCTCCTACCTTTCTGTCCCAAATTAACTGCTAAATTAAAGGTCGTCTTTTGGTTTTTCTAAAATAACATGCTTCTTTTGAATTTCATTTCTCTACATTTTCTACCTCCATCCAGCTTTGTCTCTGACAGATACAGGATTTCAAAACATGCTCATCTATCCTCAGAGTTTCTTTCGCCTTCAGAAAATAACTAATCCAAAAGTAAAATACAGCCTTATTTGTCACACAGGATATAATCAAGTATCAAAACTGACCTTGTCATCTTCCCCCTGGACCTTGACTCTGATGCAGGATTCATCCCACCCACTGCAGACAGCTACAGTGGAGCAACTGTATCTGAGCTACCCGCCACCGGGTGTCCTTTATACTCATGGAAGAAAAATGCATCATATCTCACAATTTGTGCACATTATACTTAAGGGGAGATTGGATGAATCACCATAAAAAGGCTGATTCACTCCTTGATTTTGAAGAAAGCCTCCTGTTTGCAGAGTCGGGACCCAGTGACTTCGCTATGAGCTTCACCAAGGACAACACAACTTCCTTTGGTCTGCTCTCATACACTTATTTTCTGTCGTCTGCAGGTCTCCTTTCCAACTGCAGCAAAGTACATCCACCTGGATCGATTAAGGCAGGACTAAGAACGAGATCTGCTCACCTGATGATCTCTATGTTAAGCCTGAGTTTGATCCACTGGGTCCTAAATCCAGGACTGAAGAGCCTCAATC